AAACTAATTAAAGTACATAAAATACGGATTAACGGCTTTCTAAGTGCCGTAAAATGGAGCCGCGTAGCGCAACAATTAGCGGGGCGGATGGTCTGTTGGGCAATATGTTGCACCCCCCTCAGTCCCCCCCTCTTCCGGCCACCCCTCGAACTCGTCAGTGTCGTTGTTGCCATAAAATGCCTCCATGTTTTTGCGCTTTTTACTGCCCCTGCCCAGAGTTGCTTTTTCGGTAATGAAAACCAATGCAAAGTCGTTAAAAGCGATGAAAGTTTTTCGCTGTGCCTGCAAAAAAAAAAGAAGGAACTAGAAGGGAAAGAGGGTTTGGCAGTTGCAAAAACTTTTTAATTTAATGTATCATCGTAAAATGTTCATACATTGTGTGCATGTGTGTGTGCGTGTGTGTGTGTTTGTGTGTGTGTGTGTGTGTTGCGTTTTCCGTTTTCGGGCTTTTAATGGCGACCGCTCTGAAGCCTCCGAACCAAATAGTTCGGTATTCGGCTTGCATTGAAATCTGTCAGACAAAGTTACCATGACAGCGACCACCAAAGATGAGCGTGCCACTGACCCAATAGTCAACTTGGCAGCAACTTTTGAACCAACGGTGAAGCTAAAGTGAATAATAATTTGAAACTTTGAACTCCGGCGCTGGCAACGAGATTAAACGACCGACTAATCCGTCTCGCGCACTTGCTCGTTTCAATGGAAATGAATTAAATGCGGCCCATGGCGGCCGCAAATGTCAAAATTGTTTTGGCTCAATTAAAGCGACTGTCAAATTCGGCGTCCACTTTGAGGAGTGCCTGACAGTCGGGTCGGAGTCAGAGTCGGAGTCGGAGTCGGATGGCGCATCAACCTCTCGGCTGACGCGCAACAAAATTGGTTGTGTCTGCGCAGACAGTTGCTGGCAGTTGTTGTGCCTAAAGGGGGGTGTTGGAGTAGGACGATGTCCTATGGCAACTTTTCATTTTTGCGCGCGTCCATGGCAAAAGTTTTGCCAGCAATCGCTGTCTAGATTATAAAGATTGCTCAGCTATTTATACTGACAACGATGGACAAGCTTGGCCCGTCAAACAAAAAGCAAATGGCAAGAACAACAGCCACCAGATTTCCCAAACAAATTGTATTACGTAAGTGTGTATTAGAGATATGCATGTATGCACAAATATTTAATTGATAATAGTGAGTTCTTCAGATATTCTACTTGTATATGTATAATAGTTCGTCTCTTTATAAAGCTGAGCATAATAAATTATATTCTGAAATTTAAGGTTAAGAACAACAACCTTCAGATTTATGTAACATATTGCGTTCTATAAGAGTTATGCATGTAACCGGCATAATGTTCTTATGATGTGCAGAATTTGTTCGACAAAACCAACGTGAAGGTCAAATACCAATTCTCTAGTTGAATGGTCTGCAAATATTCTTTGAACAAAGTATACATAATATTATATTGTTAAAAATAGACCATTTAAAAAAAACGAATAATTTTCATTTACATAATATACATTTTTAGTTGGAACTATCGAAGTCATGTGACTCTGTCTAATATGTGTGACCAAGCGAGGAAACAGCCAATTACAAATGCTTCAGGAGCGCAAGTGGAATTATTCAATTAATTGATTGATTAATTGTTAGAAAATCTAAAAGCGGTTTTGATCTGAAAATATATAATTTTAAAGCAATCAGAATTTTGAATTCTAATAGACATCATACCTCAGAATGAATGCAAATCTTGCAAGCAAGTGTTCTGTTCCAGATACTGCCATCGTTTATGCAGAGCTCTAATAGATAGATGTGTACATTTAAATCCAAGGTCTGCTTGGTACTCCTTCATCATCTCATCGCCATCACTTCGTTCTCCCACGGTCGGAGCTGCCTTTAAAAGCTTAAAAGTTGCTTACAAAGTTTAGCTGACAATAAGAAGTAAAACAAAGGATTTTAAAACAATAATGCTAAGCCAGGAGTAAATAAAAAGACTGAAATAAAATATTTTGTGCGTCGGTTGCTCCGCTTTCTTGTTCTTCTCGCATTAATTTTGTTTATGTTTTGTTGAAATTTGTGCTCTTTCCTTGTGTGTTGATGTTATTTTTGTTGTTTTTGTTTGAGTTTTAGAAAAGTTGAGTATTTCAGCGTTATACTTACTTGTAGTACGAAGCTGCATGAAAAAAATGAACAAAGCTTTCGTGTTGGTGTTGGAATGTTAACAAGCTGAATTAAAATGTTCGGAAGTAGGCTAATAATGCGTAGGGATTAAAAAATAGTTGAAATTATTATTTCGCGCAGAATTAATAGTTTTCTGTTTTAGTGAAGGAAATCTGCGTTAATTTTTTTCATTATAATAAACAGATGTAATTAAAATTTTAATTATCGTTTAAATGCAATTGTGGTAAGCGATTTAATAGGGCTTTTAATATATATATATTTATTTTAATAATAAGCCGATAACACGTGTTAATAATGCATGCTAACACAAAAGCAATTAAAAGTTTTAAAGCTAACTAACTAACTAGCTAAAGCATAGATACTAAGTCAATCGATGACTCCCGAGACTTGCCAAATTTATCATTTTTACTTCAACACAATTTTCTTTTTTGATGATAATAATTGTATCTTCCAATATTTTAAGGCCTTTCGACTAGATTAGTATACCCATTTCTGTACGTTTTAAAATTGTCAAATGTCACTAGGGGCCAGATTTAAAGAGTTTGGTGGATGGGGCCCAATACATGTTGACTTTTAGACTGATAGACTTTTTCATCGCTAAATAAGCATGTTTGTCCTTGATTTCAACATTTAAACGGTCCAATAAAGCATTTGCATTTATTAAATTAATCGCCACTAATTGTTTTTCCATTTTCAGGGTAATCCAGGAAGATTATTTGACATTGAGAGTATAGCGGTGGAACCAATATTCGTCCATTACTTTGTGGAAAACATATTGGAAACAAGTGCAGATTAATCAAATAATATAGTTAATCAAATGTTATGAAATCTTACAGCTTAAAGTCTAGTTGTATATAAGAGAAATAGCGACCTCGTCACGCTGGGGGTGTTTTTATGGCCGATACAAGCTGCTTTATTTGTACTCCTATTTTAGCCATAGGTAGTTGAGGACATTTTTTGTGCATAACTCCGTGTGTGTGTTACGTTAATTTCACAGATGATGATGCATTTTCCAGAAATCGGGCACCTCGTCTTAAACTACTTCTTTATAGTATTAGCTTATCTGAACATTGAACTACAACAGATTTCAACTGTTTCATAAAATAAAGCACACCGTTTATTTCTAAAAGAGGCGAATAAACGCGCTTCCAATTTGAAGCCCCACTCTGGCCTCTCATTAAAACAGGTTCAACTATGCAAGTTCCAATTAATGACCGGCTATGCTACGCCCGGCTTCGCAGTCAAGTATCTGCCCTCTAATAAACTGGCAGTGAACATTTTTAACAAGTTGCTGTTGCTGTTTGCCGGAGTTGTAATTAACGCATCCAGCAAAAGAATTTTCAACTCGAGGAGCTGCCTTTGCATTTAATGCGCCTCCAACTACAGGCGGTCCCCATCACCGTCACCGTCGCTGTTCGCCGTTCAGCCAGCAGAGATTTTGCATATCAGATTGCCGTAGCCAGGAGCAGAGCGGAGCAGCTCAAGCTAGTCTAGTGATTTAATAATCAGCACAGGCAGAGAGTGCCAACTGACAGCTGCTTGGGTTTGGATTTGGTCGTGGGGAGTAAGGCGTAAGGATTGAAGTGTGAGGGGAAGCAACACGATGCAGCAGCCTCCAAATGAATGGCTTGCAGCGGAGCCATTCGGAAAGGGCACACCAACTGGAATTTGGAGGCAGAGGCGCGTGCAAAAATGAAATGTGGCCAGTGCAGAGCACAGCACAGAAATGGCACCGGATGTTGGTTTATTGCCAGAGGTGTAGCTTTTACTGATGTTGACAAAACTAAAAGGCTAGACAGATACTCAAATTATATGAGTGTACTCGAATAAATATTTGGTACATGTAGTAACATAATACTTTTAAATTTGTTAATTGCCTTACAAATTCTAAGAAACTAATGATACTCATGATTCGGCACATTAGGAGTCGATGTATACAGGCGATACATAATTATTATTATTTCAAAAGCTAAGAAAACACAAAACAAATTTATGGAATCTGTGTTATAGTATACTAGTATATCTGTTATACAGAGGTAGAACTTTTTTAAAACAATATATATCTTAAGCCATAAACTAATAATGGAGTTAATATTGAGAATTTCGAAAAAAATGTTTCAAATAATTGGATGTTAATTAATTAATGACTCGAAATACGCTCACAGATCCGAGAATTTGATGCAGGGACTTTTTCCCAACAGCTTTGGGTATACTCAGTGAACACGCTTTTATAAAAATAATAAAAGGTTCCCGAATCAAGCTGAAAAGTATTAAGGCTACGGTTGGATTATCCACTTTCTTTACTTCTGAAAATAATGTCTGGCTCACATAAATACAAAGGACTGAAATTTTATTACATTACACTGGGTATACGAGTATCCTCAATATAATCTTGACAATTTTGCGTTCATACATACATATATAAATATACCCAAAATAACACATGACTTAATTGTTGCACAGAACACTGGGATGGATTTGTCGGAAAAATAGCTACATATGTCGGCTGGCATCACTGACTTTTTCGTTAGCTTCCTATCTTTTTTGCCTAGCAGCTGGAAGGCAGGCGTTGCAGCTGGCAATTTGCATAAATTTGGATTAGTGACAACTGACGCAGGCTATGTGAGTGGAGCAGTCGAAATATTTTGTAGACGTCAGCTTAGTGTGCGAGTACGCCCAAAGTGCTGCAATGCATCTCCATCTCTTCCCAATTCGAATTCCAATTGTAGTGGGAGTGGGTGCCCTGCCAATTCCGCAGAGTGTCAGCTCAATTTGAAGGTGGCGGGAAGCGGATGTGGAAGTGGGCGAGGGAAGAGAAACAGAACACGCAGGCAAACATTTACAATTGGCGTTTAATTAGCAACTAATCTGGTCGCACTGGCCAGGGTACGAACGAAACAGACTGGAGAGTGCTGGGTGGCAGGTGTTGACACGACTGGCAACCCAATTAAATTGTCAGTGGCTTTCAGAATGGGTTGTAGAAGACCTGCCTGGCCTTAGCGCATGTCGTAATTTAGAGCCAGCACCGAATCGCCGGCCTTTTGCGGCTGTCGCTTGGTGAAGACGCTCCAGAAGCGCAGTGTCTCATCGCCAGCACCCGTCACAATCGATTCGCCATCCGGACTAACGGCCAAGTAGACCACACGATGTGAATGCCCCGAAAGCCGCACCACCTGCTTCAATGAGGGATAACGCCACACTATGAGCTGCGGCTGCCCAACACCATGTGTGGTCACTAGTTCCTGAGATTCGGGTGCCCAGGCCAAGTTACTGATCTGTGAGCCGCTGTCGATGCACTGCACCAACTGGCCGGTGTGCGCATTCCAGAAGCGTAGACAGCGATCAGAAGTGCCGCCCCCGGTAGCCAGCAAGCCACGCTTATGCGGCGACCAAGACAACGCCTTCACAGCTGCCTTGTGCTTCTCGAACCTGTGCAGTGGATCGTTACTCTGATTGCTCCAGATGAGCACGCGCCGATCGTTGCCACCACTGGCCAAATATTGACCGCCCAGTGACCATCCCAAGCCACACACCTCCTGTGTATGTCCTTTCATGGAGCGCACTGCTTGTGTGGATGGTGAAGCGCGTGTATCGCGCACTAGGATGGTGCCATCTCTTGAGCCGCTGGCGAGGCAATTACAATTCCAGGCCAGACAACCTACGCGTGCCGAATGCCCCTCAAACTTTGTTATCAGCTTCTGCCGGCTGGCATCCCAAATGCTCACATAACCACTAAATGTGCCCAATGCAAGTTTGCGGCCACTCTCGTGCCAGGACACACCAGTCACAGGATTGTCCTCGTTGCTGAGATCGCACAGGCGCGTCACCTGACCGTTGTTAGCGCTCCACAGATAGACGGAACAGCCCAGACCCACGCCTAGCATGTTCGTTGACGACCAATCGATCAGGTTCAAATAGAAATCATCTTGCAGCTCCGGCGCATCCAGTATTTTGTAGGGCAGTCGCGATAGCTTTCGCGTCGGCCGAATGGGCATGCTCAGGAGTCGTTGGCTGGCCAAATTAACGGCCGCAAAAGGCTGATGGCTGGGCTCCCTTGGCTGTCGATACGTATAAAGACGCGTATTCTCGCGCTCCTTGTAGTCCCCCACATCGCAGCGATACTTGTCATTTGTCTTACACGCATCCAGGGATGCAATTTCCGAGCCCAGAAATTCATTGCGCAGCAAGCAGGCATATAGCGTGTTCCTCTTATCCTCTTGCGCCGCAGCGCGCCGACAGTTGCCTCTCTTCGGATCCACTTTCTCATTCAAGGCAAAGTTGCGGCTCCAAGTGTTGCCGGCACGTTGCGGTATTAGTCGCTCATCGGGAAATGATGGTCCACTGAGGCACTGGCCCAGTAAACGCTTTTCGTACTCTGGCTGGAACATGATTTGTTAATGTTAATATGCAGTGTGTGTGAGCGTGTGGTTGTGTTTTATTGTTTGTAGATGGGTGTGCATGTGTGGGAAACTAATAAATGATGTTTCTTTATTTCAATTACAAAAATCATTACTTACTTAGTTTATGAACATTTCTCAAGAAGACACACCTTTGACCGTCCATTGATTGATCTCAAGCCATTTTGTCATTGATGGGAAGATAAAATTGTTCAGCAACGAAAATGTAAGACAGCTAATCGCGTAAGTGTATATAGCTTAAGAAAATAAAACCTTCAGAAACATTTCTCTTGTTTTTCTGAAATGGAGCTTTCCGAAACTATACAAATTTATTCAGATCCCTAGCTCAACCCGTTGTTTATCTTTCAAGCATAGATACACATATCTTATTTCTTATATTAATCTTTCCTATATCATTTTTTATGGTTTAATTGTGTTCACCAACAAATAGCAGTATTTCTGGTAGAAGGGTAATGATGATGATAATGATCTATTGTTAGATGAGAGCAATTTTGAGTTTTTCACAAAGTCCAAGATAAATATTAGACTCTTCTGTGGATTGGCAAAAAAAGCAGCAATGAATGATTATCCTAAAATGATATTCCGATTCTAATGGCAGTCAATTAAAATAGTCCACGTATAAGTATTAAACTCTCCTTAAAAATCTTGTATGAATATATATAAGTCTGTATATAAGTCTTGAAATGTTTGTATTAGATCGTACATACCATGTCATTTAAGGCGGAGCTTAATGTGAATATTTCTGGACCGCTTGACCCGAAAAACTCACACTCGCTTACCTCCGCCTGTTATCTCGGTGGCGAGAGTGTTTTGTTTCCTATACTCTATTCTATGCAACTTCTTTGCTTAAGTAATTTTCTAATGACACCGAAGAGGAGAAGTGGCGTTGCGTCATGGGTCGATGTTGGCAGCAGCCATAGTGTTTCCTATGCCATGCGTGGTCTACGTCATCAACGGCGGCGGGCGAGATGAGGGCGCAGGCGCAGGCGCAGGCGAGGGCGTACTCGCAACAGCAGCAGAGACGTTCATTAGATTAAAAGCAATTTACAGTAAAACTTTTGCCCTCAAAATGCTCCCCAAAATGTCTTCCTGCGCTCCCCCTCCATAATCACTTACACCCACACATTCAGGACATCCACGTGCAGTCAGTCTCCTTTAGATTGCACATGTGTGTGGCAGGCAAGTCCCCGAACTGCCTGCCGTGCGCCGCTCTCTTCCTCTTTCTAGATTTTTATAACCCACGCCCACGCCCATTTGCCATTTTTAGTATTTGCTTTTCTTTTTTGGAATTCAACAAATTTGCGGATTTGGTTTGTAATTTATTAAATTTATCGCATTCTCAACGCTCCTTAGCAGAAAGAAGGAGCCGCCAGTACCGCCACCGGCTGGCTGCGGTTGTCGACGGGTCCTGGTGCAACATTTGTTGATGACAACTAAAGACACAAATGCTGCATTTCATGGACGCCATTTGGGAAGTCGTTCCGGGCTTAGAAGTTATTATTTTGATTTATAGAAAAAGTTCGTTAGCGAGCGCAAGTTGCTCGTACATCTCCAAAGGACACCACACATTCATACAAATTGTCCTGTTGTTCTTGTTGTTTGTTGTTGCTGTTATTGCTTCTGTCCAAATGTTTAAATTGTTTTACTCCGACGCATTGTTTTAGAGCACATGTACTACGAGCATGTAAATATTTGTGCCGCCTTTTTCCAATGTGTTGAGTTGAAAAGCATTAAGTAGCTTTAACAATCCATGTAAAGCGATTCATGTAAAGTATAACTATGTATATACATATGTACATTTTTCAAATAAAGGGCTATAAGCATTTTCAGGAAAAAAAACCTTTTGGAAGCTTAATTGAGCATTGCTTTATTTGTATGATAAATAAATTCCTGCCCATATGTTTTAATTGCAGAAAACGAATATTCAGTACACTTAAAAAAAAGAGGTAAATTCTAATATTTAGTTTTAAAAATTTTTCCAATCCATTATTTACCAAAGTGTGTATATTTCAATTTCTAGCTTAATATTAAAATATTAAATTTTAAATGCATTGAATTTTTCCCTCATTCTTTAGTCTACTCTTAGGAATTCCAGTAAATGTTTGCCTCTACTTAACCTTTGAAAATATTCGAATTTACTATAAAAAATAATAAAATGTATTTCTAGTATAGTTAAATCAACTTAAAAAAACTTTAAATTAAAGTTAAGAAAAATAATCAAATTCAAATGAAATGTAATAAACTTAACTATTTGTTACTTAAATGCAATTTAAAATTAAATATGGTTTAATTAAATTGATTAAATTAATTTGATTTAATTAAATTAACATTTAAATTAAATTACATTTTTTTTTGAATATTATTCATATTAAAAACAGTAATTAAATATGTTTGCAAGTAAACTTACTCTGTTTATATTTTACTTAATTACAAAATATTAGAACATTGAATTGAATATAAGTAGAATATGAATTGAATATGAGAATAGTAATTTTTACTAAGCCGTTCTTTTGAGTGTATAATTTAAGTGAAATGCCTGTATTCTTTTGTCCCACTTCTTATCGTTGCTATGGCAGGCAAACGATAAATATGTTTTTAACAGCTTCTGTATAAGTGCTCCAAAGTAGTGAGACGAGTGCTTTTTAAAACCGATTGACGGTACTTTCGATATGTTGAAAAAATACATTTGTTCAGTGTGTTATTAAATGAACAATAAAAATACTATATCTACTCGAATGTATTCATTTTTCCTGATTTTTAAAGATAAGAGGAGGTTGATTGAATAATAACACGATTCAACATAGAAAACCCGTTTTTCCTGCAAATTCCATGTAGCAACCCAAGTATATTGAAATCAAGTATATTGAAATCAATAATATTTTTTGTATATACTATGTTGTATTTGTCCGTCAACGGACTGTGGTGGGTTAATCATTTACAAATTAGAATTACTTGTCATTAATATTCCCTTTAAGCAGTACTTGCTGCTTGATAGGCTGCTCTTTTATAGGCAACAGCTTTCGTTCTGGTTAAACATTTGGCTTAACAAATTATTGCCTGGCAACCGATTTTAATAATGGCTGGCATTACAATTTACATAATAGACATTTTACGACTACACGGTATCTAGCCAACAACAACTTTTCCCTAATTGCTGGGAATTTTGAACAGATACGCGGACTAATGTGCGCGCAGTTGCTGCCTTGAAAAGGACAATAAATGATAGCAGTAGCAGCATTAACAACAACAACAGCAACAACAACAATGTGAACATGTACAAGTGCGCTTTGAAGTTGCCACACGTTGCACATTTGGCCGTGTGTGGAAAAGAGGGGCACGATGTGTCGGGACTGATAAATTGAAAGTGCATCTGCTGTTGAAGTTTGCTGCATAAGATGTTGCCTGTGTGTATAGTTGTTGTTGTTGTTGATTTTGTTGTTATTTGTAATGGTTGCTGCAGTTGCTAATGTTACTGCCGCTGCTGTTGTTGTTGCTATTGTTAGAGTGCCGACTCTGTGCGGCATGTGTGTTTGCGTCATGGCGCATTTGCATGTTGCACGTCGCAGCTTCTTCATCTTCTGCGTCTTCGCGTCTCTGCTAATGAAAATGCCAAACAAGGCATTGCCGTTGAACAGCGTCCGTGTTGTTGTCGTCGTCGTCGCCGTCTTCGGTGTCGGTGTCTGCTGTTGCAACAAGCGGAGCAGCCAAGTCAAGCGTGCTGCATGCGCGCTATGACAGCAACATCATCAGCAACACGAGCAACAACGTCGGCTTTCACGCACACATGCACACACGCACACGCACAAACACATACACATACCCACCCAGCACCAAATGAAGATGCCACTAGACTGCAGTCACAGTCACGCTTGCTTCACTACTGCCATCTCTTCCGCTCTCTCGCCCTCCTATTACACGCTGCATTTGCATGTTTTCATCCTCATACACGTATAGCTTTAGCTTCAGCCTCAGCCTCAGCCTTAGCGTAGGGATGTAAGTCAAAGGGAAAACATCGATGTCTCTTTATAAAAAATCGATGCATAGTCGATGCATCGCAAAAAAACATCGATGCATCGATGTTTTAAAAAATTAACTTTCCATAGAAAAAAAGGTATTATTAGGGAGCTAATCAGCATAGATGCTTGAAATAAAAAATGTTTGTATATCAAGAGAGACTGTCATAGCATTTTACTTAATGTTGTTAATCAAAATAGTACTCGTAATATTGACTTTTGATGAACTTGTATGGCTTATTTAAAAAACTGATTATATACAGTTTTTAAAACAACGACGCGTTGCAGCTACACCTCTTAGGCATATTAAGTGTGACATTACAAACGAAAAGAAGAAGATCAAATACTTAACAATCTAAAATTTATATTATAAAATACACATTTTAACGAAAACATCAAATAATTTATATTATAAATATACTTTCTTCGGTAAGCCACACAAAGAAATGTGACCGCCAAATAAACATGAATAATGTTCGATGCTTGGACAAACATCGATGGATCCACAATGCATCGTTATAAACAAAACATCGGAAAACATCGATGCATCGTGGTAAAAACATCGTCGATGCTCGATACATCGATGTTTTTTTACATCCCTACCTTAGCGTCCTCCTCCTCCACCGCCTTCCCCTCCGTCACCTTCGCCTACCAGATCTCGGCATCCAGCACTTTTGTGCCAACAGCGTGCGCTTTTAACTGCAATGTGTGAAATTTCATTGAATTTTCGCTCGTTGACAAAAGTGGAATGGAAACAACAAAAACAAAAACAAAAACAACGACAACAATAATAATAGCAGCAGCAACTGCCACAAAGGTGTGCACTGTTTATTGTTGTTGTAGCTGTTTTGCAAATTAATTTAAATTATAGTGTTCGCTATCGCACCACTTTTTATGCATATTAGCTCTGCATGTTTGTGTGTAAGTCATTACGAGTATACAACTGTACGTGTATGTGTGTGTTTAAGGACTTTTTTGTGTTGAACCAACTAATTTGGTGAAAAATAATAGCCGCAATTAATATGCCGTCGT